TGAGTAAATTTCTATTATTTTAGTTTGATTTCCTAATTACATGTAAGAACTCATCTTTTACCTAATTAGTTGCATTCGATCCACTTATGATATAACTTTTTGTTGTAGATGTCTACAAAACATGAAGAGCATGTTTTTAGTATACACGATTACGTCCTATATAATTTATTTATTCGAATTTGGAAACCGATATTTATTGATAATGTGTTATACTTGAATATTATGTATCTAAAAAAATGTATACTTATATGAAACTTGAACCCGTATTTTATAGTAAGAAAAGAGAAACATACTAGATACTTCCTAGTGAGAATCGCTTCAGAACAAGTTTTAGCCTTTCTCTAATAGATCGTGAAGTATATCTTCAAAGAAATATGATCTTAATCCTCTTGTTCGACGTGGCAACGTAGTTTCATAAGAGACAACGTTACTCAAAGCCTTGTCCATACGGTTGGATATGTGATCTTTATTGCATAATGGTGACCATCAAATGCTTACATAACTATTCATGGTAAAAGTCTCTATATAGCGATTAATCGACAGTTATCACAAAATATTGGAAAGGTATCGCTTTCGATCAGTCGACACACTATAATTGTAGTGAAGCGAATAAATATGGGCAATTAATCGCTTCGACGAACTGTACAGCATATCGGTTGTGAGTACACTTGATTATATATTATCAGTTATGTAGCCTAACTAGAATAATATAGGACTATAAATGTGAAAATTTTTGACAGTAAATTTATATTTTTTCACTCAGTTGCTTTAGCAAAGTTTCTCATTATAATGTCATAATTATAATAATTAAAATGTCCCTATTCTTTTCAAAGCACTTATCAACTATTATAATAATTTTGGATATCATACAATGATATACGTGTATTAACGTGATGTGGTTGTGATGTGACATTGTTCAAATAACTATTTTGTAAATTATAATATTGAAGTGACAATTATTTTTGAGTTACTTAATTTAAAAATAAAATTATTTTTAATATGTACCTACCCAGAAGATTTTTTAAATGATATCCTAAAGCATAGATACAAAAAAATATTAATTATTTCGTTCTCTTTTTGAATATTAGTTTAATTAGGTTTTAGGGAACGTAAAATATATAATTAAAAATTATTATAAATCAATTTATTATTATTTAAATAATAAATTTATTTACAATATTTTTAATTGAGTGATAAACAGACGAGTTAAATAACTTCTTGACTGTCGTAGTATACCTTAAGTATCTTGGTATATTTGGATATTCACTTGAACAATTTGGCAATAAATTACAGTCATTTAGAGGAGAGAATTCCTACCGACAACATGTGACGTTTGTTATTTGGGTGATTTATGTGGATATTACGGAGGGACTAGCTAAATGAACCCTTACGGCTTGTCGTTATTTCAAATGAGATGCAATAAAGGAGAAAAAATAAACCTCTACACCTATTTGATGTTATATGTTTTAGTAAGAGCAACGCTATGCCGTCTTTATCATTTATTAATTAACAGATAGGTACATTATTTTGTTTTTCGTTAATATTAATGGTATCTATTTACTAAGGAATCCACATTGATTTAACTTTATGGAATAACTACATGTGTAAGTATCATTTTTGGCAGGTAATAATAATTAGTAGGTGTAATTCTATTTGAGAGAATTTTGACCAATTTTAATTCTATTATGTTGACCAAAAATTAATAAAATGATTATATAAAGACTGTGTGTAATTTTATCAAAACAATAATAAAAATGTTAGCATTATGACTTCTTATTTGATCATTTAATTATAACACACTAATTAATGTGTTTTTGTGTATAAGTGTAGTTTTCAGTTAGCTCATTATGACCGGCTCGGTTCGCACGCTTGTTTCACGAGCACGTGTTGCAGACTTGTAATGAAGTTAGCACCTGTAGCCTGTTGCCGCAGCGGAGATTACTCATGCTCTATCAGGGTATTTCACGCGATCTCATACATTAATATTAGTCGAACAGCGCTCGCGCTGCTGTATCAGCGCTTCTACATAATCGTACTCGTATTGCACTAAAAACATACGGGCAGTTTCACCTTGAATATATATATTTAAAGGATAATTAGCATTTGCTTTATTAGTGCGTGAATGTTATTGAACGTATTTAAAATTTTGAGTGTGCATTAGTTAATATATTAATAAAAGTGTGAAAGTTAGTAAGAAATAATTCGTTATATTATGACGTTCACGTAATAATTTCTACCTTCATAATAATTTTATGTTATAATTAACGCCACGATGAAAATATGATAAAGATTTTAGAAATCGGTGTTGTTTGTACACCTATGCAACTTACTGAGTGTTTCAAAGAAGAGTGAATATTTCCTTAGGGCGACGCTCCAGTGACAGTCTTAATTAAAGGGTGGTAGTACTTCATTAAATCGGTCATTAACGTCAAAGTGTCGAACTGATCCGGATACCCAGCGACAAGTGTGCCAGTGTCCGAGTCTGCTGCGATTTCACCTGCGTCACGCACGTCCGCGCGGTTCGCATACTTGTTCTCCGCTCGCGTCTGATTGCTCCAATTACAGCATCATTAGATTTGCATGAGATAGTGTAGTGAGATAGTGTTGCGCTGTGCGCTTGCAAGTGAAAGTGTGTACGATGACGGCATATGCTCAGCTGAGCTGACGTGACGTCGTGCGTGACGTTGGCGGACATGGGCCATGTGGAGGATATGCGGTATCAGTAATGCTGAACCCGTGCTTTTCAGCAATACCATTGATGATGATTATGTAAGTGTTATAGAAATGCATTTGATACATTAAATATTCTATTTATTTATATTTTCTCTTATGAGAAGAGAAGAAGAAGTTGGCAGTTGGGTTTTATTACCCAACTGTCAACTTGCAAGTTTTTTTCCATACTCGTTACGTAACTTATTAGCACTCCCATAATAAAGACGAATGACTTCATTAAAATGAGGAAAAGCCGTTTAGGTTATACGTTTTACCCGAGAACTGTTCTAAACTCGACGCACTACTTACTAATATAATAATAATATAAGTAATAAGTCGTGAAAATTCAATTCAATTCTAATTTGTATCATACATTTCGATATAGTAGGTATTTTATATATTACATATATCTCTGACTCATTGTTGTGTACACTATGGCGTATACTAAGTAAACAAAATGATGTATGTATGTCGTTAACCCCAGAACGTGAATAGGGTGCCGTTATATACTGAAACGTAGCAAGTATTTATTATAAGTAGCAATAGTGGTAAACATCTTTATATTTTCTCTTGAAAACAATATGAATATTAATATGCGTTCCAAATTCCTATAACTTTAATAACAGCGTCGTATCAATATAAGCTACCCAATATATATATATATATATATATATATATATATATATATATATATATATATTATACATTTTTCGTTATAACGTATACAATATGTAGTGAACATAATAAAGTTACTATAATACACACAAGTAGCACATAGTTTGTAATGAAATAATATTTGTCTATATTTTTTTATGTGAGTTGGTTATAAGTATCTATTTATAGTAATAAATGTAAATAATTTAATATTATTTGTACATAAAATAATTTTACTCTAATATTTGTAGGTTATAGATTTGTTTCAAATAATTTTTTAATAATAATGGCTGCTACGTAATAGGGAATTCATCTCCCACCCCGCTTAACATTGTGTGGGAAGGGAGGAATGTATTTTACATCAATAAATATTCATAAATTTGATTGTTTGTACACACAAGATGCTATTATTAATATTAGTATCTATAGCTAGCTACCACATACACTTTTCTACATATTTGAAAGGTCTTTATTGATTTTTGTACGGTTTCGAGTTGTACTCATTTATATAGTCAACTTAAAATTGATTTATTTTCCTGCTGTTTGGCACAGGACTATTCCTATAAGAGAAAGATACGTAATCTATACATATATCTGTCATGCTTGTTTCACATTGGGATAAGCTGAAACAATGGGAAACGCCAAATGCGAAAGATACAGTCTACTATTTCCACACTAAGTAGGCGGTTTGTTATAGCATTTTATTTCGGTTTTTTCTTTTCCTGTGTCGATATATTTTGTGTTCTTTTTCCGTCTTTGGAAATGTTTGGAGTCTTGGTCTAATGTTTTGGGGACGATGAAGAGTTACATTATATTTTGTTCAGTGGCCACTACATGAAAATTTTAAAATATTTAATTAAATATGACTTGGAGGAAGTATGAAACTTTGTCTACATACTCTAATAAACTATAAGCTTATTATAGTTATATATACATACATATATACCTTTTTTGAATGGTGCCTTGAAAAATGATTTCTTTTGCATTGAAATTAATTAGGTATAGCATAATATTCTATCCATTAACAAAGATAAATAATAAATTTTGTGTGCAATGCAAAGATCCTTTTTCTTTTGTATTTCTTGCAAAACCTGTATTTTTTTACATAATCGAGTTTATAATCACTATATTATGTCCTTGCTATCCACTCATGTACCAGAGTCTGTTTGTTATAGCCGACTGGCGGTGAGGAGAGATCCCACCCTCGTAAAATATGTTGTGAGTGTGTTACGCGGATGGGTGCATAACTCAGAAGTGTAAGGGACAATCTAACTGCGAGTACCAAACAGTTATGTAAGCGCGCGCCGTCATTCGGTTACTTTTAATACCCCTTCAGTCAGAACTAACCTACTTCAGAATATTATAAGCATCGTTAATATTTTTAGTAACAGCCTGTCAAAGACATTAGAAGCGGCTTTGAAATATCTGGAGTCGGCTTAGATACTGATAATATAATTTTATATGTAAGCACTAGGGTTATAACATTAACATATTACTGTTTTGATGATATAATTATTTCAATAAATAAAAAATAAATATTTTGGATATATTTTTTTGATCAAAACATAATTTATCTAATTTGTTTAATTAAACGTGTAAGTCAGTTGTGTTGACCTTATGGTGGTGTGTTCCAGCAGCCGACATGGCGGTTGTGGGGGGAGGAGCGCGTCGACGGCGCTATCTACACCGTCTACCTGAAGAAAGTGCGCTACCACCGGCCTACGAGGAGTGCCTCCAGTGTAAGTTACAGTACTATAAATTCCTATTATTTATTTAGGGGTATCCAACAAAACATGCAAATATATCAACTTAAAATACACAAATAAATAAAGGTAGCAGCGACATGCATATTCATATTATAATATACATTATAAGTATATAACCGTGGAAAATAAAAATGTTTAAATAACATGAGTATTACAAAATAAATAGCTTATATCTTACGTGTGATACATGGCATGTTCTCATTAAGCTGTTAATCGAAATACGAAATAGGGTCGTACGGGTAGATACAATTTTTGAAAAAAATAATATTTTACTTGTTAAAAATGCTACTTTCTATATGTGAAAATGTTTTTAAAATCGATTGAGTAGTTTATTCATTACAAACAATCAAATCTTTCTTCTTTATAATATTAGTATAATGGTATAATATACTAATATTATAAATAAATAAATAAATATAAATATTTATTTATTAATTTATTATGGTATAATTCGGGCGAGTCCAGAAAAGTCTAGACGCGAGGCAACCTTAATTATGGGTCATAGAGTTCACAACATAAAAAGGTCACATTTTTTAGGGTTGATGTAATGTATGCACGCCTGATTTGCTACTCTGTGCCTGCCTATTCTACCACATACCTGAGGTAGTATCTTAATAAGGTTACTGATAATGCTGTCAACACTAAACTGTATGCTAAACTTCGTTTGAATGGTTTGCGGTTAATTATCAAATGAATGCGATGATTCATTTAAATTATCAGCTACGGTGCTACGTGGAATCCCATTCGTGATAATTGAGAAACAAGAAACAACTGTATGTTATTGTGACCAGAAATATCCGCTGTGGACATACAAATTTAACTATACAGAAAATTAAATGACAAAATAATTAAGCTAGTGGATATTTTTGATGTATTTGTATTATTTTGTTTGGAAATCTATTATTTATTTATAATCTCTAGTTAATTTATGTTTGTTCGTATAACATTAAGAACTTCAATTTTTATCGTTATGAAATCTAATTAAATTACAAATGTTACCTGCGAACGCTCAGGTTGTGGAATGAGCTTTGCCGAGGTTTTTCATAGAGACTATAGTATGAGGATCTTCAAAAAAGGTATATTGAGGTTTCCTTAGGGTCGGCAATGCGCACGCCCTTAGTTTTACAGGCGTCCATAGGCTACAGTGACCGTTTACCATCAGATGGGCTGTACGCGTGTTTGCAGCTATGTGATATAAAAAAAAAATTATACTATAATGATATTTAATACACTTTTTTTATATTAAGTTTAAAGGTATATCCATTGTCAATGTAGGTATAACCAAAAGTATTATGCAAGGACCAGTACATATTCTTTAAAAGTATATTCTGTTTATTCCATTGTGTTTGTTTATGCGGACTGTGGAGTGTGACATCGCTTAGATTTATGTTTAGCGATAACATTTTGTACAATACAAAAGGAAGCCATAATAAAAACGTTATTTTCTGTAATATTTTACATTCAACACTGTTTACTATAACCGGAAGAATGACACGATCACACAGCATACTATTATGGTACTGCTGGTATGTACTTACTGTGAGATTTTGAAGCATTCAGTGTACACATTTAATGTCGTTATTTATTTTTAAGTGACTTCAAAGAGAAGAAGGTTTACAGTTAGTTATTATTTTTTCTTGTATTTGTATATTATGCAATATCTTCGCCAATCTTGAACTAAATTTAACAAGTTTTTTTTTTACTTAGTTTACGCTCGTCTTAATCCCATGTAGTAAGTATGGTATCACTATACCCATACTTAATTAGTAATTAATGGATGTTAATAGTTACAAAAAAATCTCATGATCCGTGTTGCGTTTAAAAAAAAAATTATTAGCGTTTGCAAACAATTTTCTTTTCTTTGTACACTTAGATAATATTGGTAGAGTTTTGTATGATATTAGCTGACGCGGCAAACCTTGTTCTGCCATATAGATACAACATGCATTTAGATATATTTACATTATTGACACCGTAATCACGATATATTTTTTTTAAATGGGTGTGTCAAACAATCTTATCTTTGTCTGTACTAATATTACAAAGAAGAAATATTTCATTTCTTGTACGTTTGTTTCTTTGTTTGTAATTGATAAGCTCAAAAACTACTCAACCGATTTAAAAAATTCTTAGTATTGAAATCTACTCGTACATTATCAGCAAGTATCATATATAGGTCATATATTATTTTCAAAGAAATTAGTAATCCCAATGATAGATTACAATAATATAATCTAAATGCAATCAAAAATAATAAATATATATAATATATATATATATATATATATATATATATATATATATATATATATATATATTAGCCTGTTAAAGCTAATATATAATAGATACTTAGTCCATACGAAGCTTGGACGCATCGTACAACATTAAAAAACTTTTAATATTGTAAGATTTCCACATTTCGGCATTTGTAAAAAGCCATATTACAAGTATTCTTTTATTTTTATGAAATGCTGATTTTTTGTATCATCCATCTGCGAGTTAATTACATACGACAATTTTTTATGGTCTTATATTCGTATGTCTCAAGGTTTGAGATCAGGCTTAAAAAATGTCTCAAGGTTCATTCGTTATCGCCAGTCGCATTTGTCTCAATAAAATTAATTAACTTCGCAAAAACAACATGTTTCATTTTCTCTACCATTTAGTTAATTGCATGGGTATTTTCATTTCGAACTGCCCTATGACAGACCTATATAGATTTGATAGAGAGCATTTCGGATTGCACACATATATATTGCGAAGTCACATTGGACATTTGGTTAATTTTTACTTAAGAACAATAATGATAAATGTTATTGTTAGTTGAGACAGTTATTTCACTATTATTTAAATAGAGTGTACATTTAATTTCATGTTTGTCATTCAGGTTTAACACGAAAAATGATTTCATTGGATTGTTATTAATTGTATATACATAGTTATAACGGTTACTACTAACCATCAGGTAGGCAGTCAGTTTGTTTGCCGTTGCTAACTTGCACAAAAATAAAATAAAGTAAATAAATAAATCTTAGCTTAACAAATTGATAGATAGATAGATCTATGGGTCTATCATATATTCTTAATCTATGATATTATATTACAACAAAAGTGTAACTCATAGCCTTTTAGTCCACCTTTAAAGTTGTGTTGAATAAAACAGCGATTCTCTTGTTGATCTTTCTTATTGGAGTGTCATTCCCACGTGTGCCACTTTGCTCGTTTCACAGGCAGAAGAATTTATTTGGCTATTATTAATTTATAAAACTTTTTAAATTGTCGTGGTTGTCATTGCACGTAAAGAAAAAAAATATGTTGTAAGAACCAGTCAGTTACGCATATTAAGCGGCAAGTTATTTAATACTACTTTAATTAAATAGATATTATAATATAGTGTATTTTCTGTCGATAAATGTTGGTTTGATTGCGTCATGGTCACTGGTTATTTGATTCTTTACTTGTTGTTTCTATTTATGTTATGATATTGTAATTCAATCATAATTATTTTTAGCATAAATTATGTTTGGATCAAGCTGGGTTTATTATTACTCGTAGTATCAAAAATAGTCTAAAATCTTCGATACCACTCAGTACAATGTTTAACCGTTACCGAGGTGGTTATGATTGATGTATTTTATCTAAAACTTTTCGTTTTATATAATAAATTTTCTCGAGAATTTTTCAATATTTTTGTTACATTAAAATTGGCTTTGATGTTAACTTAATTTTAATTGAATCTGACTTTGTTTGTTTTAAATAAAATATTATTATCAAACGATTTCAAAAATGAAAAAGTTTTCGTTATGTTGTTGGGGTGGACGTACACAATACCTTCACTAACGTTATAACGCTTTATTTTTATATATTTTATTTTATCTTATGTTAATTATTGTTATTGTTGTCTTTTAATTTATTGATCAAATAACTTAGTTCGTTCATAACTATATTTTTTTATTCAAATACTGATACAATCATGAATAATCTGCGTAATACAATGCTATCTTGATATGAATCTATACCAGTTCGGATGGTTTTCTTTTTGTTCACAAAATTAACTTATAAATAATTTAATGGACAATTCATTATTCATGAGTCCATTTTTCGTTTTCGTTTGGATTGTAAATTTTAAATATTGAATTTTATTCTTCAGATATTGTTATGCGTATTGCTTCAATTTTAATAAATAAGTGGAATTAAGAATTTCTTATAATAAATTTTCATAGAAGTTATTTCGTGGAATTTTAATAATTTGTTTATATATTTAAATTTCAATGTTCGTTGTATATATATGTACATGTGGCGAACTTAATATCACAAGATCTTCTCTACCAGTCAAGTTGATATTTTATTCTAAATATCTTGTTCATAAAAATAGGTTTGCGTGAGGTTTTAGTTTTTATGAATTTTTTTAGGGAGGGAGTTACTGTTTAAAGTTAACATAAAATTATAATTTAGTCACCGCATATAACCGTGAGTTTCTTAAACATAGATAAATAAATAGTTCATAATAACATCATTAGCATTTATAAAATTTATATTATATTTAGCATTTCTAATATTTATTTATATTATACGATACTATGATAGCCCACATCGCTGACTGTAGCAGACACGTTCGAATAATTTAGGTAGTTCGCATTGTAGGGACAAATTGTAACGTGTGTACCGGAAAACAACATTTTTCCATAGTAGTTGTAATTTAATTAATTTGAATTGTACATATAAATTGTAATGATTTATGACACTGTAAATGGTCACAATAATAATTATGTCTATATTAGATTATTTCGAAAGAAACGAGAATCCGTCCTATAAACAGAAGTATTATCTTTTCTAGTCATAGGTACAATAGTAAAGTGAGATATTTCTGTCCTAGTGACTGAAACTAGAACATCTGATCCGGGGATACAATAGCTTGGAATATCAATACCTATAATTCGAAATCCATGAATAAGTAAGGATTAAAGATGAATGAAATAATGAGAGAAACTACTTATGATGTTAGTTTTAATGAATTATTCAAATTTATCAAAACTAAGTTTTTATTTACATAAGACGTTATTATTACATAATATTAGATACAATATAACGGCAATAGTCTAAAATAATTGACTATTTAAATGACAAAAACCCATAGATTTGAGCATTGTATTAATGTGAAATGTATAATTATGGTAATATTTTTCTCTTTTTATTCTATTTTAATGACTATTAATTTAATTAATATGATTTTTTATAGTAATTACAATATTTATAAAATGACGTATCATAAGAGTCTATAACAGATGTCTATGAATAAAGATTTTTGATTGATTGATTGAAATATGTAAAAAATTACCTCTTAAGAGATTACAGTTCTGAGCATATTTTATTAATGCCACTAGAAGATTATTAAAAAATATTATGTAGCCTTTAATATTTATTATAATAAAGTAACTAAATTGTTGTCACATAATAACAGCATAGTTCAAAGAACTTCTATACTTCTTATACAGTGACAACATGAAAACGTAACTGTAAAGTAAAAAAAGACAATCTACACATTACTTTTCGTAATTGGTTTACAATAATGCCTCTGATTGATTAGTTCATTAGAAATTATATTTGTGCGCAATTTAGATTTATTTAATAGTGTTAATATTGTGTCTTTCAGGAGTCGGATGACGAGATTTCGCACCTGGAGTGGGAGACGGTGCGCGTGCGCTTCGTGAAGGCGGGCACCGTCGAGCGGCTGGTGGAGGCGCTCGCCACGGATGACGGCGAACTCGAGTCCACTTACGTCAATGTATTCTTAGCCACATACCGGTAAGAATCAAGTCCAATTAATAATTGGAACATCGTTCCAAACTATATTCCAAGTCTTGTTTTGTTTTTTGAGCCCAATTTGGTAGTAATAGTGGTGGTCAATCTTCGAATGTTTTTTTTTTCATGGATGATAATGGAATGGTAACCCCGTCTGCGCTATCGGTACCTATACATTGACAGGTCACTAGTGAGGGATGATTGGTGAAGGTGAAAAGGCAGGTCAGTTAGCCCATTGTGATGAATTCAACGATAAATTAATCACGATCGTTTCCAGGGAGAACCGCGTGGAGGTCGACCTGGTAAGGTATATTGATAGCAATGGGGACTAACTTCCCCATTACTAACAATCCCTTCCCCCAATCTTCGAGTGTTGGCAATCACACATATACTAATAGTAGCGGAGTTAAATAAAATAATTCTAATCAAATAACCAGTTATTTTTATTTCCATCAGGTGAAGCTTGTTTGCCATTCAGCAAACAAGCAGACGGCTCATCTGATGAAAAGTGGTAACAGCCTATAGATATAAACAGTATCATACTGTTAATACTATATGCACTTCGATAACAAGTTATAAGTAATAACGTATTGCGATAGTTAATGATCCAGCAAATATATAGCGTTTGTTGTTTTTCTTACCAATTAGAAAAAAGAATACTAATTTTCGGTCCGTTTGTATTTGCAGATCATTCGCGGAATGCACTCGAGTCTTGGACCTTTTGCTTCGACGATATGAAGCTTTGGCTGCGGAGGACGTTGTTCACACGACAGCGGTTGATACTTCACTACAACATCGAAAGTAAGAATCTAAATATATGTATATTAAGTATATATTATTTTTATACTTGATTTGCTTAAATCACATATAAAATATATTTTATTTGTAATCAAGTACATTACAAAGACGTGTATGGAGATAAAATTATAAAAATCGGATTGTTTTTCAAAGTAAAAGTAAAATATATTTTTCGTAAATTATTGAAATTTCGTAAGTTATTTAAATAATGAAAGGGTATATAGGCTACATAACATTCCATAATTTTGATGAGTCTATTTACTATAACAAACGATTTTGTCAACCAATTATGTCAAAGATCCAAACATACTTACCTGTTTACTTACATGAGTATACTTAAAAAATATTACTCTTTTGGCAGTCGAGTAAACAGAATATATTCTTCTTTACTTATAAAATAAATGAATAAATCAATTTAATTCAATGTAGTCTCATTTTGTATAGCCTATTGTTATAAATAAGTAGATAGTATCTACGACTATAGGTGTTTGAAATATAACTTCACACTCCAAATTTCAGGACTCTGGTGGCATGTCTCCATGTTTGGTTGGACACCTATCCGGAGGACTTTCGTCAACCTCCGCACCACCCCGCACTACAACAGCTACTCGCCTTCACACAGCTTCATTTGCCAGGCTCGGAGCTTCATTTGAAGGTATGCACATAATAAAATTATAGTAAAGCGAAATATAACTTACTCGCTTAATTTTAATATTGTTATAAATAGAATGATATTATATTGTTGAAATGTCAAGAAATTACGGTATTTTGATCTATTTTTTTTATTATTTTTGAATTTAATTATTTATTCATTATCATCATTTTATTATTATTTTTTTTATTCATTCGGGTTAAACAACTATGTGAATTTGAATAAAATTTGTAAGAGAAATAAACTATATCACAAGTTAGCACATAAAATAGGTACTCGTACTTTTTATGTCAATTCGCGTAAGCTATGGGTTAAAATTAATAAAAAATATATTTAAAGTTAAGAGAGATAAAGTCGTGGGAAAGAGTTAATTAAAATTTTTGTACAAATTGTTATAGTTGTAATTCCATAAATTTATGTTATTTATTTCAGGTATTGCAGAAGTTAGCAATATTCAGTGCGGAACGTAATGGGTCCGGTGTCGGCGGGGGCGTGTGCCTGGCGCCGGGCATGCGGCTCACGGCACACCACACCAGTACATATCGACTGCCGCATGTGCCTCACCGACACTTCGCCGAACAATTAACTAGAATGGATATGGAATTGTTCAAGAAACTAGTGCCTCATCAGTGTCTTGGTGCAGTTTGGTCGAGACGAGACAAGGATCGCTCTCATGACGCAGCAACTGTATCAGCCACTGTTAATCAATTTAATGCAGTATCCTTTCGAGTTATTTCTACAGTATTAGTAGAGCCCAATTTAAAGGCACACGAAAGAGCTGATATACTCGCATCATGGCTAGATATTGCCCGCGAACTAAGGGTGCTCAAAAATTTTTCATCACTAAAAGCTATAATATCAGGATTACAGAGTAATCCGGTTTATAGATTGAGAAAAACATGGGCTCTGTTGCAAAAGGAAAAATCAGAGTTGTTTGATGAGCTCGCCCGAATTTTTAGTGAGGATAATAATAGATGGGCTCAGAGAGAATTGTTAATGCGCGAGGGAACAGCCAAGTTTGCTGATACAGTTGGTGAAAATGATCGACAACTACAAAAGCTTCTACACGAACGAGGATCCCCTGGAGTAAGCCATGGCACAATACCATATTTGGGAACTTTTTTAACAGATCTTACTATGATCGATACTGCTATACCAGATACAGTAGCGGATGGTCTTATAAATTTTGATAAACGACGGAAGGAATTTGAAGTTCTAGCGCAAATAAAATTACTTCAGGGTGCTGCGAACGCCTATCAACTGCCTCCTGATCCAATGTTCGACCGATGGTTCGACTCGGTGATAGTATTAGATGACCGGGAAGCGTATCAGCTATCGTGTCAAATAGAACCACCGACAAACCCGCCTAAAGAGAGGCGACCGAAGAAGATGAACGATTGTAATAACCAAGGACACAGAAAGAACGATTCAATCGCTAGTACAAGTTCTAGTAATAGTTCCCAATTTTACTGTGAGACTGATGGAATTGTTAATAACGCGTGGAAACGAGATAGTTTAGAGCGACGGGCCTCACCAACCAGACTATCCCATGGCTCATCTTCTTCGTCTTTACCGTCTCTAGATGTATCTCTGTCTAGTGCAAATAGTAATCAAAAGCAAGCAAATGGCAAAACGAGTATAGCGAGTCCAGCACATGCGAATTCGCGAAGTGGACCGGATTTTTATATTATTCGAGTAACTTTCGAGTCGGATTGCGCGGAGACGGAAGGTGTGGTGCTATATAAGTCGATAATGCTGAGCAACAACGAACGTACTCCGCAGGTGATACGTAATGCGATGTTGAAGCTCAACTTAGAAGGTGATCCCGATGGTTACACCTTGGCTCAAGTTTTGCCAGACAGAGGTAACTATAAAAACAAATTTTATTTTTATTCATGTAAAACTATCACAAGTATTTATCATGAGGAGATTTTTTATTCCAGTTGGAAATCTAGGTTGAAAATAATACTCGACATGTAGTCTTGTAAAAAAAAGTAATACCTATTTAATTATTATTATTATATTTGATGACTATGAGGTGTGTTCTACATTTTATTGCACCATAGTCGGGTAAAAATTATTGATCGATTTTTTATAATATTAACTAACGGTAACTATTATGCATTACCAGAGGGAGACTTTGTAAAAATTATTGTCCCATTCGTGTTTTGTGTTTGCTGACTGTGTTTCGGTTTGAAGGGTGGGATATGGCGTGAATTTACATAACACCTGATTAATGGCAACGCATATCACGAAACAGTATAGTCTAATGGTACTGCTCATGTCTATAGGCGACGATTACCACTTTCCATCAGGCGGGCCATCAGCTTGTTTGTCATTCTAAGTTGCATAAAAAAAAAAAAAAAAAAAAAAAAAAAATTAAGCAAGTCCATGTGACGTTTAATTCCAAATAGGTATCTATGGAACAATATTGTTATGTGTTATAATGTTAGGTTCAATTTTTTTTCTTAAACTCCTTTGTAATCTTCGCGCAGGTTCGATTGCAAAAGATTGTCCTTATTTTTAGATTAGCGCCACATTCGGCATACCTTCAGTTATATTATGTTCGGTATCGTTTAGGTAGTATATAAGGCTATTTCTAAATTCCTTGTTTTTTATTTTTACAGAAATGTTGCTACCATCAAACGCGAACGTGTATTATGCTGTAAATACTGCATACAACTTAAATTTTATCTTGCGGCCGCGTAAACCACAACAAGATGAGCTGACGAACGGAAAAGTGCGAGGCAAGCGTCCCTGACTATACACAAAATAAGCCTTCGCCCGGGCTTTCTTTCGGCGCAGAACTCCTGTGATCTTGTACAAATCTTCAAGTTCCTCTCATTATTTATTTTGTGACTGATGTGTTGATTTCGTACTATTTCGTTGTACTGCAGTGCGTGTTCATTCAAAGTGTACTCATCTTTATCTTATCTAAACTATTTATAATTCAAGTGTACTTGATTAAAAAGTACTTTTAATGCCACCTTATATTTTCATTGTCTGTAGTTATATAATTAAGTATTGTTTATATGTAAATGTGACTTAATATTTTGTATATAATGAAAGTGTAAATAATAATCTCAATACCCTAGAATAATACTGAGCCAAAGGCAAATAAGTATGTCTAAGAGCAAGGTGCTGTTTACTTGTATACAACATTAGAGAAGAGCTTTAAATTTAAAGATTTTGAGAAACCGAATTCCCTGTATTGACATATACTACTTATATATTTATTTGTGTATATGTGCTTTAATGAATTTAAAACTGTATATGTATGTAGTATTTTGCATGTTGAATAGTTATTAGAAATTGCTAGTTGTTATACAATTTTAGAAAATGTTTAGATAATGTGAAATGATATACTCAAGACTCAAGTCCGTATTGAAGATCAGGTAGGAAATTTATGAAATTAGCAAAGGGGTATGAAGAAAATTTTTCCATGTGTTAAAAATATGTATTGCATTTGTGTAAGTTCCTTTAATTTTGCTGGCGAGCGTATAATGTTACACAATAAAAAAGATTTTTGAAAACAATTTTTACTATGTTTTACCATGGGCTAGGATTAATTAAAGTTGAAACTCAAAAAAGATCTGTAATTGTTATATTTATATGTATCTCTAATATTTTATGTGTCTGTATAAATAGTTATAATTATTTTATTTTGTACTAAAATATTCAAAATTTTTGTATTTTTTTATTTCCATGATTTTACTATTTGTTTTTTTGAAATAAAAAAAAAACTATAATAATATCTTGAAACCAGTAATAGATTTTAATGGGAATCAATGTTAAAAATAAAATAATTTACATTATATTTACTCAAATAATTGAACATCGTCCCAATATCCCATAAATGTTTTGGAGAGGTTTTAAGCTGGTAAGAATAGACAAAAATTAATACATAAAATTTTTTACTGAACAAGGTGTCATTTTGTGGAAGTCCATATCACTGGTTATTTGATCAGAATTATTTTGTTTAATTCCGCTACCATTAGTATGTGTGCGACTACCAAGACTGAAGAAGAATGACTACTATTATTATTACCAGATGTTCTACAACCTTCCAAATTAGCCATTAATTTTCCGACTGCCATTTCATTCATGCACGTTTTGCGACACGCGTTTTATCTATTTGTCTCAAGTGCCTAGTTTAAAGGTGAAACACGTGTTGAAAAACATGCGTGATCGAAATGGTAGTCGGAGATCGATAGCTAATATGGAAGTTTGTAGACCTTCTGGTAATAATAATAGTATCTTAATTGTCAAAAATAGTAAATCAATATTTGAGTGTTGACAATCGCACACATTAATAGTATGGGAATTAAACAAAATAATCAAATAACTAGTAAAAAATGTCGTTTAGTCTTTAATAACTGTGTCGTATAAGTTAGAAAAATACACTTTTATGAATTCTTTTTTATTTATTGTCTCATAGTTTTATAAAAAAAAAATCTCAGTGTATTAATAAGTTTATTTGTAAGTTCATATTTTTTCTATTATAAAATTCAACCTGTTTGTTACCTACGCCCTATGATATTAAATAATAATTTGTAAATATTTGTACCGAATTAATGTGTAATTTTGTAGTTTTCCACCAACATTTCTGTAATATGTTTATATATTTGTGTAATAAAACTGAATAATATCTTTTCTTTATAATTTGTTGAACAACTAGCCGTCCCATTTCCAATAAAAGATACCTTATTAGATTGACCCCCATGTGATCCCTACTTGAAACTGTTGTGACTCATTTTTGATGAATTTCTAACGATGTACCAATTGACTAGCTTTCATGTTTACCTATCATTCTGCACCGGTGCCCTTTTAGCCTTAATCGACAGGCGAGGTTCATTTTAAATATTTTGAGTTGTACTTCATCTTGCATTGTATTATTTTATCTGTGATCCTGTGAGAGTATCTGAGGAACAAAAATAAAAGATAACTTTGTCCGTATAGGTTAGTATAATATTATATTATCTGTGGTATAGGTATTTGCTACTTCTGCTGTTAAACGGTTACTTCTCATTTATGTGTCATCACTCACTGGTGCCTCATTGGCTTATACCGATTTCGTAGGAGGGTTTACCATTTCATTATCATACATAAAAAACTACTTACACGAGTACTTGCATGCTATTTTCAACCGAGTTAAAAAAGGTTCTCAATTTCGTAGTATTTTTTGTTATGATTATTACCTTATAATTCCGTCAGTTATAAACCGATTTGAAAAATTATATTTTATGTGAAAGGGCATTCTTTCAGATTGGCCCCATAAAAATTTTATTAAAATCGGTTCAGTAATTTATTTTTAAAGCAAAATATTAGATTTTTTTACTTTGTCACGATTCAAATCTGTTTTTTTTTATGATACACGATTTTGAATTATCCTGTATGAATAATAAAATATAGTAGAGTAACTACTGGCTACTATAACTCTCTATACGTATTTCACAAGGGTCGGCAATGGGTGATTCGCGAGTATCACTCAGAGTTTACGAAATTTGAACAGATTTACGTTCTTTTTTTTTTCATTCTATATAAATATATAACGGAAAATTTTTTACAATTATTTACTGTGGTATATATATTGTGTTCGACAATTGCTTATATTTGATCTGAAAGGGCATTCTTTCAGATATGGCGCTTTGTTTTATTAAAATCGGTATCGCAATCGCACTGCAGGCCGCAGCTCGCATAGCTCAAGATGTATATAGAAAAGGAACATAAGTTTTAGAAATAATATTTTTAAATATTGTTTCTATATATCTATACTGAATTAAAGCTTTTCACATAAACAGCCATTAGAAACGTAATAAGAAAATAATGTAGGTACATCCTGCGATAATCATTTTTCTTCTCTATTATTGGAGATATCTACGATTCGAGTATGTGAGTGAAGTGATATTCATATATTAACGCTAAAAGAAAAAGTATTGAATGCCATTTAGTAAATTTAACAGAATAATATAAAAAAAAAATAAAACAGCGTATGAGTGATATAATCAATCTATACATATAATAAAATCGTAATTGGTCTTGATTCGAAAGCATAATAGTGCGAGGAAGAAAGCGCCTTGAAAAACTCATGGTGGGAAATTGCCACACAAACAGATGGTTTGGATGAAACTTTAGTTAGTTCTGATTAATGTATTTAAAAAATCCAACAGTTTTCCAGGGTTGATATAAAAGCGTTGACTAAAACATTGCCGTAACAGATAACGCCATCTAGTAATGTGTTTACAAAACAAATTTAGATAGCACAGATAGAAAAACATCAATATAAGTGGCGCTGTATTTGATGAACTTCATGGAAAGTATTGGCCTCTGCTGATAATTTTAAGCAAGGAATACGCAGTTTAATGTATGGGTAAGTTCTGTAGGTGGCCTATTGTTAACGATCAGTCTAAACATAAATTTTAAAAGAAAAAAAAATCTTGTTCATTAGAACAAGCGAGCCAAAATATAAATAAGATTATTATGGGGCTAACAAGGGAGGAAAACTTTTCGATTAACGAAAGAGTCATAAAAATCAGATCTGAATTGGCAAGCTATCGAGCACTCACAGATAATGTAATATATACTATATATTATATTTTCATTTATTGGATAACTATCTTTTATCTTCCCGTGACTTCGTCCGTGTGGCAGGGATGTGTTTAGTAACCGGAATGAAAAAGTATTCTATATTTTTCTGCATGCCATATAGTACGTGTATACTAAAAGTTTCATAGCGATTGGTAAAATTGTTAAGGCGCTATAAGGTAACAAACAAACCAACTCACTTTCACATTTATAATATTAGTAAGGGTAACAATAATACATTATGGTATATCTGTTCACGGAAACAAGTAAAAAATGTTGTGCTGTTTTGGCAATGTTTGGCATTGAGACATTCTATGTAGAAGCATTAATTAATTTATTTAGAGATAAGTTTATTTAAAATAGTTTTTTGTCGAATTGTGTACAAACTCCCGTTGATGTCTTTTATATAGTAACGGACTAAAGTAGTTTTCTCAGTATTGTCATATTGTTTCTAGAAATAATAAGGCAGTGGTGTTATCATGGCATATAATATGCATTTCTGTAATTTGATATAGTATAGTACGGCATCATACGTAGAGTCGTTACGGCATCATATGATACGACTTTGCAAAGGCTATGACGGCGTGACCTTATTCGACACAAAATTAATTTTGTATTTTTGCAATTGATATACGTTTTGCTATTTTATTATACATAGAGACGATATAACTATATCGTGATATGCTATGATACAGAAAATTTTCTTAATATTTTTTTATAACTACTAACATCTGAATTTCAGTAAAATACTAAATAATTTAATAAACAGTAATTTACCTCATTAAAATTTCTCCTTCTTACTATAATATCGTTTCGAGAAATGCGTCGAATACAAGAACAAAAAAAAAATACCTAAAAATATATCTCCTTTATCTTCCTTTGACTAAATAAATAAAACGTAAACAATTGTATACAAATCAAGAAGTTTATTTGTTTATAGTAAGCGCATTTATTATGTTAACCTATATCTATACCATACAGTTTTAGCTTAGATAGTACAGGTATATACCTATACTATCTGAGTTAATATTAAAAAGATTTGATTTTTTATCTTTGTTTGTTTGTAATAAATAAACTCAAAAAATATTAAGTAGATTTTAATACCTATAGAAAGATACATTATCAGTAAGTAAGATAGGTTATATATTATTTAAAAAAACATTGATATCCCTACGATTATTACAGTAATGCAAACTAAGGTATTAAAAATAGTAATTTATTATTCTGTCTCTCTACTCATGTGAAGTTAGGGCGGATTGATAGTATGATATCATCATATTAGTCGTTAACTCTCCACTGCTAAACATAGGCTTTCTCCTACTGGGGGGTTTTGCCCATAGTTGCTACGTTTGGTAGGCGGTTTGGCAACTGCTAACCTAACCTTTAACCTTTGGTAATGTTTTAAAAGGGACGCTGCTGCCCATCTCTCGACCATTAAGAAAACGATACGTATTTCTCAAGCACCTATCTTGTAATTAGTAATTAAATTTACCTAATTATTAAATGTTGTAATACAAATATTGTTATTAGATTGTTAGCTCCTATGAGAAACCAGGGCATCGTTTTTTAGTTGTCAAAATAATAATAAAATATATAATAAATATAAAAAAAGGTATCGACCACCAACGTCCCGTTGATTGAAATTGCAAACTACAAGTTCAACATAATATGCAGCTGTCTGATAGCTACGTAACGTACGAAGTCAATCTAACTTCAACTTATATGGAATAGTTAGTTGTGTAGATCTACTAACCGCACGGTATAATAAATATATGATCCCATTATTATATTATTATTATTATGCATTTTCCTAGAAATAGGTCGTCAGCTTATTTATTTATTCTTAACCCTTGCTAATATTATAAAAGTGAGTTTGTATATACGCTGCTTTTTATCCTAGTCAGTAAATATATTCCGGTCACGTGGACGATGTCGAATGTAAAAGCAAGTATTATATGAAAAAAATATTTTATGTATTTTTTTTTATACCACGCATATGGCAAACAAGCATACAACTCTATGAACGTGAGCATATCGACCCTAAAGAAACCTTAATTTACCCTTTTTGCAAACCCCTCTTGAAAGCCTCTAGGGAAAACCTCGGCAGGGAGCTCATTTCATAGCCTGAGCATTCGCGAGAGAAAATTCTTTTAAAACCCTACTGTACGCCATCACTTCAGTTTAAACGTCTGAGGATGAATTCTCTGTCGATGGATGGCGAGTAGTACAATGATAAAAGGTCACTGTGGGCATCATTTTTCAAACAATTCCTCAGAACATAATTCATTATACAAGCAGTAGAATAGGTACACATAGGGAGACAAAGTCTCGCCTTAGATTTAAAGGCTCAATACCGCTTGTGAGCATGGGATTGTCAACTATTCTCATAGCTCTTCTTTGAATGAAGTCAAGAGAACCAAGCTGGTATCTTTGGAACTCCTGCCACAGTATTATTTCATTGATCTTATTAATATGAGCAATATGAATACTATGTTTTCAATTTCACTTTTGTTATTAGACCATTACTATTTTAACTAATTTCAATTAGATCTTTAAGTAAATATTGGTATATGGCAAAGAACTACTTGCATCCAAAATATAAACATATATAAACAATTCTATTATTCTCTTCGAATGCAACAATACTTGATTTCGTATTTTAATATTTACAAATATGTTTACTTTTTTGGCAACATGCTTATCGCAGAGTTGAGAGAAACAAAGGCATAGAGTTTCTTGCCAATTATTTTTATATCTTTGATGTTTTAAACCTGAAAGAGAAACTTTATAACTTTTCTGTTATTTTCTGTCATTATTTATAAGTTTGGCAAGTATTAACATGCTCATGCTTTTGATTTATACTTTAACCTGTTTTTGGATAATTTTTGTTTTAAGATAGGTAGATATTAAGGAAAGGAATCAATATGGATGACTGTAAGGGTAGAGGAAGATATAAAAAGACATGAATGGACTGTGTAAAAGATGATTTAGTTAGAATGTGTGTGAATGCGAATATTGATATTTCTTTATTAACCAATATAACAGTTTTCGTCATACAATGACAAGTTAATATTTACGTTATAACTACAGAATAAATAATAACAACGATCATAACATTTCAAATATAAAAAAAATGACAATAATTATAACTACAAGTTATAAAATTTGAGTTGTCACACTTATTACAATGAAATATAAATAATTTAACATTAGCATTTTGGTATTCGGTCACGTTGTAAAAAGGATGTTACACAAAATTTATTTTTATTTATTTTTTTTTTAATTTATTCTCGGCAATTGTGTTACTGTATTGGATAATTTATTATACATTTTTATTTTTATATGAATGCCTTGATTCATAGTTTTTATGAGTCATGTTCTTGGCAATTCCAATTTGTCTTTATTTCTCGAGGCGTAAATAAAATTTTTTGGCTAAATTTTTGCCAAGAATACCCTTTATCACATATTTCGAGTAAAGAATCGTATATGAACAACTATGACACCGTCATTGTATGTACGTTAGTGGACAAAGTGAGGCCTAACAGAGGTGCGTTTATGAATTCCGCATATAATTCTCATAGCTCGCTTTTGTCGCCTTAGAACTTTCAACATGAGAGCTGCATTGCTCCAAAATGTAATACCCTACATATGTATCATCAGTAAATAGAGTCACAAATGCTTCTTCTGGTAAATTTGCCAGAAGATCATTAATGTAAATAAGGAAAAGAATTGATCCAAATATGGAACCTTAAGGAATGCCTAAATTAATATTATCTGTGTGAGATATAATATTATATTATTATTTAATGTTACTATTTGTGTTCTATTATTTAAGTATGACTGCATTATTTTTAGAGGTTTATGTTTAAATTCATAGTATTGTAATTTGCTCAATATTATATTGTGCCTTAAACAATCAAAAGCTTCGGTAAGATCACGAAACACACTAATATTAGAATAGAGAAGAATAAATCAGAAAAACATATTATGCTAACTCCAAATAATAATTGGATAAGGATATAGGGTTTAATAAATTAGTAGAGGACTCATGAAAGTAAATACGGTTAATTAAAAAGAAATATTTTATTATGTTATATGGAATAGTAAACAAGGTTACGGCCCATCTGATGGAAAGCGGTAACCATTGCCTATAGATACAAACAGCACCATGAATATACAACATAGAATATACAGTGATTTCCAAGGTAACTTTTATGTGTTGCCATTTCTAAGAACAAATATGTTATACCTTCAAACAGAAATACAGCCATGCAAGCGTAGCTGCTTATTTTTAGTAACACGATTGAGGTTTCCAAGCAGATGATTTTTGTTCAGTGGCACCCTCTTGTAAAATTATAATGAGGTTGTTCGTAATTGGGGAAAATAGCTGGTAGCACTAATCAGGTAACGTAAAAATATATTCATTTATATGTACATGTTTTCAGAAGTAGGAACACCAATGAAATAGACTAATTCTAAATGAAACCATTTAGAAATCAATTCGAGATAAAACATTCGTATATCAGATTTTTAGTTAGATCTACAGAAACATACTTGTGAACTACATCCACTTTGGTGCAGTTATTTTGGCATGATGTTGGAATAAACATATAGACAAACAGACAACATTTATAAAAGTTATTGTTTTGGAATCTATTGGTCTTATTAAGACCCATCGTATATTTTTTCTTAAATATATTCCGTGTACAAACATCAACTAGTTACAATTTTATTATATTAGGTTTATTAAGATAAGATTGCACAGAGTTATAATTATGCATCCAATAGGATAATAAATATGAACGTTTACGCATCTAGATATTTTCATTTATACCTATATTTATAGAAATATTTTCTTATGCCATAAAGAGAAATATGCACATACGAGTACATGGTGGGGTAGCCCTGAGAAAAGTTTAATACAATTTATTGCGAGTTACGAGACTGCGGGACACATTTCATTAGGCAATACATTATCATATTTGTTAAGATATGACGCTATATACCATCTATAAAAAGTAAATAAATTGAAGTTCTTTATTGGAATTAATTGATTAGGAAAATTTATCGCAATAGTTGATATATCAATTTGGTTGGTTTTATAACCCTTGCGACCAGTATTTTGTTTTTTACCTATCGATTTCAAAATTTATACATCTTACTTGTTATAAACTATATGACGATGAATATATACGACGAACCAGGAAGGAGGAATACGATTATATACGACGAATCAGGAAATTATTGCAAAAATGTTCTATAAAGTCGTATACATTTTGTCGTTATCCTTTTCTTTTGTGAAATGTCAGTGATTTATGATGTGACTGTTGAGCTGTGAGTTGGCAGGTATGCGAAAGCATAGTGTACCTGCGTGCCGCCACCGGTTGACAGTGGTTTGGCTGAAATTTTCATGGCCAGCGTATCGAGCGGAGACTACGAGCAGGCGATGGATTCCGCGCAGTCGCGCCGCGCCGCCCGCCCGAGTGCCTCGCATGTTCACCCGCGGTGGTAACGTCACGACCACACTCGCTGTGAGAAAACCTAGAAGTAGCGACATCGTCTCACAACAATAACACGCGCGGAGCACGAACTGTACATCGTATTGACTCCTAATGTCCAAGTGCCGGTTGTAAGTGCAGTGGTCGTGCTACGTGGACATCGTCTGATCGCGGCCCGACATGTGAAAGATAAAGCCTTTGTGACAGCCGGCCAGCGACATGTGGCGCGACGGAAATACACGAAAAATGAAATAATAAGGTAAATTCTTGCAATAGATTCTTGCCTATACACATCCTCCAGAGGATGTAAGTATTATATCGAATAATCGACATGAAATGAATTGAATTTCTTTCATGAATTTTGATCAAATACAGATTGAAAAATTGTCAACTGTTCCCAATGATCATTAAAAATTATAATTTATTTATATAGGACACCAAATTTTAAAAGTGTATATTGGAGATATTGTAGACATAAAAATATATGTTCATACATGTATATATCTTGAACGAGCAATTTGATATATGTATTTATTACTAAACCAATTTGTATATGGTGGGAGCGCCCGAAGTGAGTTCAGTGAAGCTCTACGAATGCCGCAATCTGATTATGGCACACCCAACAGCTACAAGACATTCTATTTTAGTGAATGTTTAGTGTCATTACTAGTAGACAGGGAGGTTCGAAAATGTTTAGATATAGGGTCGTATCTATTGCGTGGAGCGCTCGTAGCCAGCTGTCCGTTTATACGAGTATAAAAGGCTATTAAATAATTAAAGAGAACATATTTTTTATTAAAAGTGCAAATATTGAAATTAACAAAACGAACATTTATAGTACATTCATGTATTTATTGACTTGTTTTAGTTCTTTCTTAATAATATAAAGTAGATGATGCATATGTATACTATTTTCATTTATTCAATGTAAAAAAAAATAACAATCATTGATATCAAGTAGTATATTAATTTTAATTTAATTTAATTTAATTTATTAAAAGATAATCGACATCATGAAACAAATATGATTTATTTTATTTATTAATAAGTCTTTCTTTACACAATTTAGAATGGCAATCAAGCTGACGGTCCACCTGATGGAAAGTGCTAACCGTCGCTTATAGACATGAGCAGTATCATGGACATAACAGAGTGTACTGTTTCTCCCATGATACCCCCCATGCGTTGCCATTCCTGAGGACTCAGGTGTTATTCATCTGTACCCTGTAAATTCACGCCATATCCCACTCTTCAAATCGAAACACAGCCATGCAAACACAACTGCTTCATGGTAGAAACACGAATGGGACAGAGGTGCCCAAGCAAACGATTTTTGTACAAAGTCTCCCTCTGGTAATGTAAGTTTTAATGGAATTTGAGTACTATTGTCCGTAAGTCCGTAGATGTGTCATGATTACTGGGCTACATAATATATACATATATATACAGAAACAATGGAACGCCAAATGCTTTGATATATAATATATATATATATATATATATATATATATATATATATATATATATATATATATATATATATATATATATATATATATATATATATATATATATATATATTACTTTATTCAGAATTAGCCTGGCTATCTAGGATTCAAAATTTATATTTTCGGTGCCAGACATAGTTAAGATAATAATTTATATTAAAGTAGAAATATGTGACATTGTTTATAATAAGCTCATTATATTTTTTTATTTACTGTTAACTGTACGTAAAGTAAGGTATACACGCGTATCACGTGCCATTATCGCGTGACGCCGAGGCGCGGCACACACGCACGCACAAAACAATGCAATAATTCAACCACAGGCATTTAGCTCACATCGATCCGGTTAATCATGGTTTGGATTTAAAATAATATGCTACCAGCAACTGTAAAAGGAAAAACAAAACCTAAACTTCAAAATACAATGTTTTGACATCCATTTTGCTCTTCAGTTTTGGAAAAAAGGAGGATCATACTCGTAATACTGATGTCTTTTTTCCATGTCTATGTTACGCCACTTTTTCGCATTTTCACTAATTTTGACGTTTTTTTTTATAGAAATATTATTATATATTATTTTTATGTTTCTATACTCGTTTTATCAGGATTAATATTCATTTCTTATGGCGAAAAATCTTTAATTATATTACAAATCTTCAAACGAAAGTATTTGATAATTACTATCTTCAATTTCTTATATAATGAGATGGTCTAATTCACATAATTATGAATTTTCGAAAATAGCACTATGAAAATACTTTTGGGAACTTTATCTGTCATATCTATGTTATATTTACTGCGTTTCGAAAATAGATACTTAAGAAACTATTATCTTTTTTTATAATTGGAGTTACTTTTGCAGAAAACAGCCATCAGCCTTATGGACGTCCGATAAGAGATAGTTATTCTGTTTTTATAACTAGCTTCAAATTATAGACTATAAATAAGGTTTTGCTGTTCATTTTCCATATATACGTAGGTTGACCTTAAATAATAAATTAGAATTGTTCAATTACTAAGGACGCTACGCGGTATATAAATTTGTGGCTTGTGGGCGGAATCGACCATTGTGAAAGAAAAAAAAACTGCCGGAAAGAAATTGCGCATCTCCTTTCTTTGATTGTTTTGCAATTTATAAGTGACTTTTTTGTTATCCTTATTTTTGATACATACATTAAATAAAATAAAACTTGATAACTTCTTACTAATCACCACAAATTAAATAGAGATGTTAACCCCTGCTGTGCATAGTAAGAAAACAATATATTTGTAAATATAAGACATTATATTTTTAACTCAATCTACTTTTATAATTTTAGTGGTAGTTTATTGCTTTTTTATATAAATCCTGGGAACAGAAATTAACATATTATTTTAAAAAATTTCGATTGCTATATCGTAATTGAAATTATTGCATGTAAAAATGTAGAAAGAAGGTCTAGCGATATATGCCTAGTAAGAATAGGTAATATCGATACTGCTCCGATATCTATATATTGGAATCGTATGGTTATTAATGAAAAATATAAAGATCATCTATCTCAACATCATACATATATTAGATATCTGTATTTATTTCGATCGAGTTCTTCATTTCGATATTATATTGACTTGATATTGCGGTAATCCAATATATATAACAACATTTAATATATCCGTTTTATGTCAATATATAGATATTATATCTACAATATATAAAAATCGCTATATATTACCCCTTATGTCTAATATAATAATAATAATTCTTTATTTGAAATAAAAAAATTGGTGACAATATTATTGAAAAAAGGTGATATTGGCAAAAGTATAAAACTGTGTCGCGAATATCAACGCCCTCCTTCTCATTGCAGGATTCCAAAACAAGTCAATTAAAAAAGTATAGTAGTTAATTACATCAACGAAGAGATTTTTGTTATATCTAGCAAACAAACTACAATAGTATGACAATGAATTATGAATTGTTCTATTATTTTGGTGAATGAAACAATTTTCTTAAGGTTTAGAATATTATTACGTTCAGTTCTCTGGAATTAACAATTACAACGAAATTTTTCGAACATATAAGATTTTTCATGAAAATTTATCATTGATTAAGAAATATAGTTTTATATGCAAGAGATACCCGTAAAAGGTTAATGACATTTAGACGTAGTTAATAGATGTTCATTGAAAGTGACAATATGTACCTATATTTTTATTATCTAAACTATATAAATGGATCCCACTCTATAAAAATCATAAATATCGAAGTTTAAATAGATGTTTAGATGTTATTAAAGTCAGGTTTAAAGGGCTGAATGGATTTAAATGAATTTTGGTGAACAGATGGACCGTGACTGGGATTAACGCTAGAATAACTTTTTATCCTAATTCACGCCGGAAAAGATGCGGGTTACAGCTACTTGTTAATGTATTAAATGTGGAAATATTAAAGCCAGCCTTTTTACGGAACATATCAATTTGTCTTTTAGGATATCGTAGCTAAAATTGTGATGAACTAAATTTTATAGAGAATGTTCCAGTTGCATGGTGAACTCTCATAGCAGTTTTAGTTTTACGACATTTGTGTAATGTAGTGGATCTACGCGCCACTATCCTAGATAAGGACAACAAAGACATAAAATAATTGTAACAAAATAAAATTTATGGATCAGAACATATAAGTCTATCAGATTGAAAGTTTCATCGAGAGTCACATAAATTCTCGTTTATGTGAATTTATCTTTTCTTGGTCACCGTTTAGGTATGTACTCGTATTGTATTTTGGACTGAACAGAAATTGGTCTTATAATAATTTATTAGAAACAGACGTCACAATATGTTAATCTTTGTTGAACTTTTAAATAAAGACAAATATATGTAATTATATGGGTACATTGGGTTAATTGATACATAATTATTATCCAATATAGTATAATTAAGCTCATATTATTTTGAACAAACTAAAAAAAAATAGAATTGATTAAATTGCATATAATTAAATTATAATTATTTATAATTCCATTTTTACATATAATTAAATTTTAGAAATATAGCTCAATATAATAAGAAATATAATAGGCCAAAGGGATTAGAAAATATTAATTGAATGGAAGAGTTAAAATGATTTAATTCTAAATATCTTTTAAGTACGCTAGATGAAATCGAAGTCGTCATCTATGTATATAATATTAAGAGAATTTAGTGAAGTTAAAAGTCAAAACCAAAAGAAAAATTATAGCTTCCCCTACTAACTTAGTAGCAGGACGCTCATTACTTGTATGGGAGGCTCAATTTTTTTTGCTATTTATCTAGACCTGTTCCCAAAAACTTCACTGTTAAAATGTTCTTTTAAAAAGTTTTTCGATTACGTCTGTATATACCAGTCTAAAATGAGATAAAAATTTTGAAGTTTAATATTTTAAAAACAAATCATCAAATTTATTAAAACAATCTTAAATAAGTCCCTGTTTTATATATCTACTTTAAAGTAAAATCATTTATTAATTGCTATATTATTAAAATTGTAGCTTGTTTAGAATTAAATTATATTTTTGTTCAATATTAAATAAATGGATAGACGATATAAATATTGAGTTTATTGAATGTGTAGGTATAAGTTTTGAAATATCTTAATCCAAATATATTTCATTTCCTTACATTAAGAATTATATTTATAAGTATGAGAGGATAAAGCGATGTATGGTAATTGTTTCTTTACCATCCTTTTCCTAATAAACTCTATGAATACTTATTGCTGTGCCTCAGACTC